TTACCGAACAGTTCATTTTATGTTTCATTTTATTTTTGTGCTTTAATATGTAACCAATGTGTTTGGAAAATATTACTGTCACAAAATAGTTTGTTAAAAGTATAAGATGCTGTGTATTTTTATTGTTAGATCATCCGATATGTAATACTAGCAAATTTTATAACTGCACGATTATTTTCCCAAAATAAAACTGGCTTGTTATTTGATAAGTGAATTATTGCTTTTGATAAACACAAAACAGGTAATTTATTTGTTAAACGAACATCCAAACGCCATGACACTTACACTGCGTTATACTAATAAACCCTCCCAGAGTAAGTAGTTAAATGTTTCGCAAATGTTTTGACAACTTACCTGGGGTTTTCTGTGCATCCATCAGACTCCCAGTCAATAGGCTAAGCCTGGCACAGCATACGAGTGCCCTGGCCCCCTCCTATGTTATTTAGTCCTACCATGAGCATATTAGCCCACTAACCAATCGCCTTTGTGGCCAGTAGACCTCAGGAGGGGCCATGGTCAGCGCTGTTTAAAGGTTCTGGACGGAGAAGCTTTGAATTCCAGGATGGCAATCAGATTATGTGAACGATGTGTTGCTAAATTAATACATTTACATTTTCAGAATAATACAGGGCATTTTCCCCCCAAGTAACTAGTCATGAGTTCAGTTATGCAAAAATTATTTATTTATTTTTCTAATATTGTATTTAATTTTTGATGTATATATTTGCCATGAATAGTATTTTGTGAAACCTTTGCAATGCAGCCTGGTCGTATTGAAACGAAAGCAATGGGTACTTTAAATACATTATGCAACATATTGAAATGTTCTCTAATCGAACAAATCCTCCAATTCAGGTATTTTTCCTCTGCTAATTTGACCTACATTTTTTAATTCTCTTAGTCAGTTGACAACAAATCCATGTTTAGTAAATAACCAAACAGACCTGAAGCTTCTCCGTCCAAGGTCTGTGTTTAAAATATTGAGTCACTATAAGCTGCTCTTTAACTCCTAACTACAGGTCAGTGAGCTGGAGTTAAACGCTTTTCATCACTGGTCATCTCAGAATTGCAGCCAACATCTACTTAACAGCTCTTGTTATACGCGTGGAGAAGCCGGTGTCAGTTGCCAAAAGTTGGCAACATTTTGAGTAACCCAACACGGCTCTCACACTGTGACAAGTCCAGAGCCCGGCACAGCCATTTGTGGCTTTACAAGGTCACAAGCAACGATTGTATACAAATACTGTGTTTTATATTAAACAATTTATTTCACCATGCAACAAAATTGCACTTTATGTTGGATTATCAGCAATATCTCCAAAGACTCCTGACATTTCCATAATTTACTGTGTGTTTCGTGTTTTTATTTTTTTATTTACTATATTAGATGCCAGATTGAAACAATATATTTCTACTGCCAGCGAATAAACAAAAGAGGAGCATTTGTTTGTGAAATAATGATGAGGAAAGAGATTTAGGGGTGATTATTTCTGATGACTTAAAGGTAGGCAGACAATGTAATAGAGCAGCAGGAAATGCTAGCAGAATGCTTGGTTGTATAGGGAGAGGTATTAGCAGTAGAAAGAGGGAAGTGCTCATGCCATTGTACAGAACACTAGACCTCACTTGGAGTATTGTACACAGTACTGGAGACCGTATCTTCAGAAGGATATTGATACCTTAGAGAGGGTTCAGAGAAGGGCTACTAAACTGGTTCATGGATTGCGGGATAAAACTTACCAGGAAAGGTTAAAGGATCTTAACATGTATAGCTGGGAGGAAAGACGAGAGAGGGGGGATATGATTGAAACATTTAAATATATAAAGGGAATCAACACAGTAAAGGAGGAGACTATATTTAAAAGAAGAAAAACTACCACAACAAGAGGACATAGTCTTAAATTAGAGGGAAAAAGGTTTAAAAATAATATCAGGAAGTATTACTTTACTGAGAGGGTAGTGGACGCATGGAATAGCCTTCTAGCTGAAGTGGTAGAGGTTAACACAGTGAAGGAGTTTAAGCATGCGTGGGATAGGCACAAGGCTATCCTAACTATAAGATAAGGCCAGGGACTAATGAAAGTATTTAGAAAATTGGGCAGACTAGATGGGCCGAATGGTTCTTATC